TGATTTCCCTAGGAACTTTGTTGGAATTGTAGGCGGGAGGCACTAATTCCGTCTTATAGTTCTGGTGAAAAGAGCATTTGTAGCTTATAGCTGCTGGGGAGTTATTTTAAGAACATAGAGAGGCATCTAATAATGAATATATCAGAATAGAAAGCAGAGTGAGGAAGTGAGATTAGAGACTGATTTGTGCAATTGTTTTATGAAGTGATTGAGTACATAGTTTTTTTAAAAAAACAAAATTATCTTTTTTAAAGTTTTGTAAGCCTATTTATTATATTGTATTTTATTAAACTAGTATAAGGCAAGATGCTGTCATTTCCAATGAAAAGAATGACAATGACAGGAGGTAATGCAATTTTAATGTACCAATTTATCAATGAATGCTTAAAAGCATTTCAACAGGGCAGTCATATAATGTAGAACAAAGAACATGCACTTGGGAGGTAAACTGCCCAAATCTTGTTCTCAGCCTGCCATTTATTAGGAGCATGTCTGCTGGAAAGTTACACATTCTTTGTATTCTTTGTGTGCCTTTGTTTTTTCATCTGGAATATGGGAATAATCACAGAACAGAAATATACAGGAATATAACATTGTTACAGTGTGTGTGTATATGCATGCACCTGTGTGCTTATGCAGGTTTTAGAAGATTATCTGGTACATTGAAACATAACTGTTGGCAATAAAATACCTTACAAAGTTTGCTTGAACCCATTCATTAATCAGAGGGTATCTACTATATGCCAAACAACTATGCTACATATTTTAGTTAATAATAATAAATAGGATGTGTACATTGCCCTAAAATTATTTACCACCAAATGGTGGGAAAGGACCTGAAACTAAGTTATTAAAATAGAGTAACATGTAACAGATCTGTAAAACATTACTCTGGTCTAACTGAAACTTTTTACCTATTGGTAAACATTTCCCCATTCCACACCCCAAACCCCAGCCTCTGGCAACCACCAATCTACTCTCTACTTCTATAAATTTGACTTCTTAAGATTCTGGATATAAGTTAAATCATGTGGTATTTTTTTTCCTGGCTATTTCACAATTATTATTGTCAAATAACAATAACATTTTAAATAAATATTTTAAAAAACTAAACACTCCTCCCCAAAAATAGACCAAAACAATTATTAATTCGTATGTACACATAAATGACAATAGAATAACTGACGGTGTCATAAATAACTGAGACCAGAAGTAACAGAAAAGATTTCATAAAAGACACAGGTTTGAGTAGCATAAAGGAAAAACATGAGTTTAACAAATAGGGTAGACTAGAGGACAGAAGTGTTTTAAAAAGTTAAAGAAATATAGAAACTTATCTAGTTATTGGATTACATACAATAGCATTTACATCTTAAAGTAGTTTTGAAGGTTTCTTGTACATCAAAGCAATTCTGACCTGTAGATTTAATTGTGAGTTAATCATTTTCTAAAAAATCAAGGATAATGTTTTCTATATATATTAAAGATATATGCTACTTCTATTTACATACTTTATATTCTTACATTAAACCTGTTTTCTAGGAAGAAATTAATCCAGTAATTCTAACTCGATCAAAGAACTAAAATGAACACAATAGGTCAAAAACTAGTTCATAGAAACAATTTCAATTAAGCTATGGAATTTTATTTTCATTAAGTTCCTCATTAGTGTTCTTAAAATAACTTCTCCAATGCAATTTTAATTCTGTAACACCAATATTTTGATTAGATTAGACAAATTGTTATCTACTATGAAATTTGATATGTCCTTCAAATTTTATCTCTAACTGAAATATTTTTACCTATTTAATAGATTAATTTGTTAATTAATTTAATTATAATCCACCTCTATGGTTGCTGGAACTTTTTCAATTATTTATTGGACTATTTTCAAACAACTCTGTATTTAAATTTCTCAAGCATTTCTTTTTCTTTCACAATTTTTGGTGAAGCGGTCCACTGGAGACCAGTGTTATAACAGTTAGACCAGTATATAACATGTTTTTTATTAAAAAAAAAAAAAAATTCCTGTCTTCTGAAAACCTAGAACTTATGGTCTGGGCTTCTGGAACTTAAAAGAGTAACATTTTATTGACCTCATGATTACTTTAAATGCCTTGTTGCATTGTGTTTTAATTTATGACAGTTGAAAAGCTCTTTGCAGTGTTTCATTTTTTAGGCTTAGTGCTGCCAGATGCTTGAAGTAAACAACATTTTGAAGATATGTGGTTATCCTACATGTATATAAGAACTGGGATTAAACTTCTCCTTTCTTAAGCAGCTTTTATTCATAGGCGTGGTTTAATAGTTACTGTCTTCTCTCTCTCACAATGTGTAAGGATAAGTGACAAAACAAACCCATATGTTAAACTAATTAAAACACTTTTTCCTTTAATTTTCTCAGTGTGAAATTATCGTGTAAAAGGAGATGATAAAAAGGGGTAAACTAGTAGATTAAGTTCATTATAACTTTAAGCATAAATTTATGAGTGGGGCTAATAGATATACCACAAAGCAGATCATTTTCATGTTTTAAAATACTTCATAATGCCTAAAGCATGAAGTTAGCCAAAAAGTAAGATAGAGCTAGTGCATGGATCTATCTCTGTACCCCCTGCAAGTTACTTTACTCATGTGAGGTTTAGTTTTCTTATCAGCAAATCAAGAACAATAATAGAATTGAAGTAAAAGCTGTTGTAATGATAAAATAGCACACATATTCATTTAAACCAGTGTTCTGCAAAATAACTTCTTGGTCAGACACACTGGGAGAAGTTGTCAAATTAAATGGTGACTTAGAAGAAAATGTATGAATTTAGGTGAAAAATTTCTCTGTATACCCATATAAAATTTGTCTATAACAAATTATGTGTATTTCTTTACTTATGTATTTATAGTTTATCTTTCTAAGCTCTATGAGACAACTTGTTGCTTTAACTTTAACAAGTAAACCTTAACTTCCCCAGTTTAATGTCAAAATTATACATACCATCATACAGACCCTATATAGTAACAAAAGTTAAAAACATTATCAAATGAGAAGAGTAAAGGGTATTCTTCTAAGCTGTTCCTCTTTAATATATATTAAGGCTGTAATTCAGTCAATAACAAATGATATATCACCTAACACTGGAGGAACTTTGACTTCTAATACCTGACAGTGAAGTGGAGAACCCAAGATGGACCTGAAACTCTCTACGAAGACTCCTATCAGGTCACCCAACACAGAAGGCAGCACAGATATGACTATTTAATAATTATATGCTCAGAAGCATAGGGTGTGAGTGATAAAATGATGTCACTTCTGAGCATATATTTTAATTTTTTTGTAAATATGCAAATGTTATAACTCCAAACTGTACATATCTGCTAATATAAAAATGTAAAAGTGGATACTTAATCATAACCCACGTCCCACACACTTAAATTAAGACCAATTTAGGCCAATCACTGCATTAAATAATATAAAACCAATAATAAAAATTAGAATGTTTAAAAATTTTCTTGTAAGTTATAATTCATTTTGAATGCTCTTATGTCTGAAGTCCATTTTCTCTGAGCTTTATGGTCTAACAAATTTTATACATTTTAATTGAAAAATTAATGCTATATTATTTCTGAGCTTTCACAGTTGTTTACATAGCTAGATAAGGCAAATTATTTAGAATGAAATCATTTGCATTTACTTATAAGTAGAAATTATTTCGAATGAATTTATTTGCATTTATTTATAAGTAGAAATTTATATTTGTTACGTATTTTAACTATAAAAACAGAATCAATTGGATGCAAAACTGATTGAAAAGAACAAATTTGTCATTGTAAATATTGTCATTGTAACATTTTAGAAATGTTATTTCTAAAAGAAAATGTTATTTACCTGAGAATAGGCACTGCATTTGAATGGCAGGTGCCATAGTAAAGTATGTGCATTTCAGGGAGGTAAAGAAAGACAAATGTTTTTAGAGGAAAAATGAGGAGGATTACATAATTGTTTTGAGATTATCCTTGCCCACAAGAATCAGTAGCAAGTTTGGTGTCAGTCAAAGGTTGAACAGGAAGTTGCTGAGCAGATGTCCTCACACACAAATTATTTTTTGGTGTAAGGTTGACATGGCCTTTGTGCAAGGTTGTGGTTTTTCCAGAATTTTTTGTGATTTTTTTTTTTCGTGATAGTTTTTGCTGCAGACATTTGTGTCTGAGAACCTTCCATTTGTGGCCTTCCTGGAGTTCATTTTAATTTTTCAAGGTTTTGTTTGCTTATTTGGTTGGGGTTTTTTGTTTCTGTTTTTGTTTTCTTTTGAGACGGGATCTTACTCTGTTATCCAGGCTAAAGTCTGTGGCTGTACATAGATATGATCAAGCTCACTGCAGACTCCAACTCCTAGGCTCAAGTGATCCTCTTTTCTCAGCCTCCCAAGTAGCTGGGACTATAAACATATGCCATCATGCCAGGCTTACTTTTTGAAAATTTTTATTAGAGATAGGTCTCACTTTGTTGCCCACTCTGGTCTCAAAGTCCTGGCTTCAAGCAATCCTCCAGCCTCAGCCTGCCAAACATCTGTGATTAAAGGTGTAAGCCACCATGACTAGCTTTGTTTTGTTTTGTTTTTAACAGAAGTGACTCCATTTTGACTTTCGCAAAGTAAAACAATAACAAGAAAAAAACCTGTGTTCATTAATCAAGATGTAAATAAATTTAAATTTGTTAAAGTATTCTCATAGTTATATTAAATCACTGATTGTATTAAGTCAGAATTCTACAGAGAAACAGAACCTGAGGGTGTTGGTGTAAGTCTGATTCTGAAGATCCATTAACCAGAAGTGCCAATGGCCTGACCAAAGGCATAAAAGAATGAAAGAGTAGAAATTCACCCTTTGTCTTTTTATCGTTTAGGGCATCAACAGATTGAATGGTGCCCACCCACATTGGTGAGGGTGATCTTATTTACTCATTCTTCCAATTCAAATGCTAATCTCTTCTAAAAATATTTTCACAGCTCTTATCAATACGCCAGGGATTCAGTCTAGGTTCTGATGCTCACTGCACCATCATTGAGATGAAGAATATTGCCAGGTAAGAAGCCTTTATTTGGGTTCCACAGCTGAGGAGAATGGGAGATCAGTCTCAAATCCATCTCCCTGAACAATTAAAATTGGAACTTATAGTTCCTTCATATCTGGTAGACCTGATGATTGGTTTCCTGAAAAAGGAACTCAGATAAGAAAAATGTAACTTTAAGTTTTAAGTCTGGGAGGATCAGTTTCTATGTTTGTTCAAAAGAAACCATAATCACTAATTCTATGAGACAATTGGACTGGTTTCACAGACACACCCAGGAATACCAACTAAACAGACATCACTTGGGCTAGTCAAGTTGACACATAAAAGTAACAGTCCCACTCATTAAGTAAATGCTATTAATTCAAATTATAGACTACTGATAACAAAAAAACCCTAAGTGATCTTTTTTTTTTTTTTTTTGAGACAAAGTCTTGCTCTGTCACCCAGGCTGGAGTGCAGTGTCACGATCTTGGCTCACTGCAACTTCCGCCTCCTGTGTTCAAGCAATTCTCCTGCCTCAGCCCCCTGAGTAGCTGGGATTATAGGTGCTCACCACCACACTGGGCTAATTTTTGTATTTTTGGTAGAGACAGGGTTTCACCATGTTGGACAGGTTTGTCTTGAACTCTGACTTCAGGTGATCCACCTGCCTCGGCCCCCCAAAGTGCTGGGATTACAAATGTGAGCCACCGTGCTCAGTCTGTAATCCAATATTTTTACTCAAATATAAATTGATCATTTTGAAGATAGTTGTAGTCAACATTGTGATGGTTAATATTAAGTGTCAACTTGATTGGATTGAAGGATGTCAAGTATTGTTCCTGAATGTGTCTGTGAGGGTGTTGCCGAAAGAGATTAACATTTGAGTCAGAGAACTGGGAGAGGTAGACCCATGCTCAGTCTCGGTGGGCACCATTTAATAATTGGCATTGCAGCTAGAATAAAGCAGACTTGCTGAGTCTTCTAACCAACATGTTTCTCCAGTGATGGATGCTTCCTGCACTGGAACATCAGACTCCAAGTCCTTCAGCTCTTGGACTCCTGGACTTATACCAGTGATTTGCCAGGGGATCTCCAGCCTTCAGCCAGACTTAAGGCTGTACTGTTGGCTTCCCTAGTTTTGAGGTTTTGGGACGCAGACTGGCTGCCTTTCTCCTCAGTCTGCAGATGGCCTATTGTGGGACTTCACTTTGTGATCATATGAGTCAATACTCCTTAATAAACTCTTCTTCCTATATTTATCTATCCTATTAGTTCTGTCCCTCTAGAGCATCCTAATACAGTCACAAACTAAATATTATGTTTCTTTTAAATGGTATGCCATTAAAATAACACTATTTCATCATTTCCATTAGCCCTCTGTATCTATGGGTGCTACATCCATGGATTCAACCAACTGTGGACTAAATACATACTTCTGATCAGCATTTGCTTGAATTTGCAGATGTGGAACCTGCAGAAGCAGGGGGCTGACTTAAGAGATAAGGATCTGCAGACTCTGACATCCATGGTAGGTATTGGTTCAAATTCCTGGTGAATGCTAAGAGATAACTGTATTTGTTTTGTAAAAGAGTTAAAATTTTTAGAGAAAAATGTTAATTAAAAACTTATCTAATAAGCGAGAAACTTTTGATTTGCATAGTAATTATAGTATATGCTATAGTATTAATTATTAACTGTACATATCTCAATATGTTTGTATTTTTAATACAAATTTGCCACTGGGCAAGATAGCAAGATGACAATGAATGTGATGGTGATTATCTAGAACAGCAGTTCACTGGCACTCTAGTAAAAGGGCTTAGAAGAACATGGAAATTGAATTATATGAGTTACTTCTTCATTACTCTAGTATCCCCAGCAAAGGCCACTCTGTCCTCAAATATTGGTAAAAAGTTGTTGAGAAGGCATAGAGAAAAATGGTGCATTAATGAGCCCATCTATATATGGGAAAGCAGTTCATTTTCAATGTTGGAATTCTATGCATAAAATGGACAACTTTAGGAAAATAACTTGGCAAGAAATCATCAAGTCAGTACTATTTTGGCATCACTACTACTTTGGATGATATGGGTTCTTGGCCTTGTTAATACCACACTTGTTCTCTTCTTCACTGTTACTGGCTTCCTGTCTTTCTGCACCCACCCACATGCTTAAGTGTCTGCTCTTGCCCCTGCCTTAGCACTAATGATTTATTTAAAAACATGCTAAAAGAGTAAAATAAACTAATTCCTCTAAGTGGCCATTCAGACCATCATCTTTTACGTATGCTTTTATATCTTACCATTAGAATTATAAACGTTCTAGGTCATTCATCATGATCTTATCTCGTATAACTCTACATTTTTTTTTTTATTGTCTTACCAGACCCTATCATTTACGTATCTGGGAGATACATATATTCAAAAAAATTACAGTATGCCTTCAGGAAGTCATAATATACTAGCTATAATATCTCCTATATTCATTCTTCAAAGTTCTTTTTGTTCTTAGTATAACTGAATTCAGGCTGCCAAGTGAAGACACTGGGTCCCAGCTTCTGAAGGTGATACTTCTATTTTTCTCCTACACGTTATGTGCCACATAACCCAAAGATGTGCTGCTTGCTCTCTGTGGCTCCTCCCCCTTTGTATTACCCACTTACACATTGTATTCCTCTCTTCTCACTTAACATGTCCAATTAGGTTGAAGTCATTCATTATGACTTCAATATCGATGGAGAAGATATAACAAACATGTGGTGTCTGTGTTCTTTTCAATTCCTCATTTCCAAAGACCTTTTCCTTCTCTTAACCTCAGCCTCTTATTCCTCATCTGGTGATTTGCTATTTACTGACAACAAAATATAGGTATACCACCTCTGAAATTCATAATTTAAGTATCTCACTCTGTTAATAACACCACCTAACTTTCAAGCTATCTTTTAATCTTTCTCCCACGTCAATTTTTTTTCAAACTTCTGGCGACTTTCAGTCATTATCCACCATTACCTATGTCCTCTCTTCTATCTTTAAACCACTTGATTTTATAGACTGTTACTATAGCCATTTAATTAATTGAAAGTATTCTTATTTCAGTGGCCTTTTTTACTTATAGAAACAACTATATTTAAACTTTTTTTTTTTTTTTTTTGAGAAGGATTTTCCCTCTTTCACCCAGGCTGGAGTGCAGTGGCATAATCTCAGCTCACCGCAACCTCCACCTTCCGGTTCCAAGTGATTCTCCTGCCTCAGCCACCCAAGTAACTGGGATTACAGGTGCCCGCCACCACACCCAGCTAATTTTTGTATTTTTACTAGAGACGGTGTTTCACCGTGTTGGCCAGGCTGGTCTCGAACTCATGACATTGTGATCCACCCACCTTGGCCTCCCAAGGTGCTGGGATTATAGGCGTGAGCCACCTTGCCCAGCCTAAACTAAAATTTTAATGTAAACTGTAGAATACAGCAACAAGGCCTACACCAACCTTGATGAATGCATTTGTAAAAACACAATGATAGTGACTGAAATTTTAAAGCCACAGCTTTTAAGTAAGCTTTCTAAACTATAAATATTATCGTGGTAGGTTTACTTTCTTACTCTGATAAAGGTGTAATATTTAAAAAAAAAAAAAAAAAACCTATCCCTGCTCAGTATTTAACTCTTAGTCAATTATCTTACTTCTCTAAGAAAACAAAAGCAACCCCATTGTTCATAAAAAAGCTATCTCCATTTTGATAGGTCCCTATATAGTTGGTTTTTCCTCTTTTTTTCAAAGATAAAAACTTTTCTGCTTCCTAAGTTCACATTCAAATTGTTCCCTATATCCCATTGCATCTGGTTACTCAAAGATTTCATTCTAGCTATTATACCCTTTCCTTTTAAATCACCATTTTTCTTTTCTACCACACACATTAAATTTAGCATAAACACAAAATAATTCTTCAGTTTTGTAAAACACTCCTGTTAACAGTAGAGGGTATCCAGGTTCCTGGCATCTTGAACAGAGAATTAGACAGAAGGCACAAACAAAGCAAGGAAAGTCCGGGCATGGTGGCTCACACCTATAATCCCAGTACTTTGGGAGGCCAAGGCAGGTGGATCACCCAAGGTCAGGAGTTCAGGACCAGCCTGATCAACATGGTGAAACCCCGTCTGTACTAAAAATACAAAAATTATCTGGGTATGGTGGTGCATGCCTGTAATCCCAGCTACTTGGGAGGCTCAGGCAGGAGAATCACTTGAACCTGAGAGGCAGAGGTTGCAGTGAGCCGAGATCACGCCACTGCACTCCAGCCGAGGCAACAAGAGCAAAACTCCATCTAAAAAGAAGAAAAAAAAAAAAAGCAAGACAGGAATTAAGGGATTTATTCAAAATGAAAGTACACTCCACAGTCACAGTGTGGAAGCGGGCCTGAGCAATAGGGGCTCAAAGGCTCCGTTATGGAATGTTGCGAAGTTTAAATACCCCCAGAGGATTCCATTGGTTACTTGAGGTATACTCTGTGTAAATAGAGAGGATGAGGTAAAGTTACAAAGTCATTTACTTGGCCTGTGCGCTATGGAGAGGATATTTCCTATCATAGCTGAAGTGTGAATCAGCCTTATGTTCCCTGCCTCCAGACCTCATTTTCCTGCCTCATCTCCCTGCTGAGAGATGTGATCCCCATAAATCTTTATGGGAGGCAGAGGGGCCAATGGTCTTTTTTCTGTAACTGCTTCATGCTGGCTTGGGATGTACTCCCCTACCTATTGGGGATCATGGAACGCTCACCCTGCTGTGTCTAGTAGAGGCACAGCAGGGTGAGGCCATCAGGGTAGCTCCTTGATGGCCAGGGGTGGTGTCTTCACTTGGAACTTGCTGGAGCCTTTGTTGAGTGATCATCTGAAGCTCGATGGTCTCTAGGAGAGAGGAAATGAATTTGGTTAAAAGATTTCATGGGAACTTCAGGGGGTGGATACCTATGATGCCAGAGATGTTTGTTATAGAGATTTGCAGAAGAAAAAAAAAACAAACCCTGGTCTGTTCCAGAATCCATGTGTTTCCTTAAAGTCTTAGCATGAGCAACTCCATTTTGGTTTGGTTTGGTTTGTTGGGGCCTAGTGCATGAGCTCAATCCAAAACAATGACCTCTCATAATTTTGTTTAAAAAAATTCCCCTTTTTTGGTCAGGTTCTCACTTAGACGAGAGTGTGACTAAAATTTATGGCCTTAGCCCCACTCTCAGTTACCATATCATTTTGGGTTTCTGGTCTCAGCATGTCATTCATAAGTTACAATGTCCTCATAGTTGCACGTTTCTTTCAGCTCTTGTTATTCCAGTTGAAGAGAGACCATATGACATTCTAGAGATGGCTGCATACAAACATTTAAAACCTTTGAGAGAATATAGCACACCAGGGAGACTATTATTAAGACTATTGGGAGGATAATACCAAGCGTTTGGTGTATGCTCCTTACCCAAGGTCCCATAAACCAAATCTCCTAAAATTAAACTAAAGAGTTTACTCACTTGACTAAGCAATTTCTTCATCAATCTCCTACCACTGAGTTTCTATAATCTTCACTTGATGTATTTCCCCATAGGCTACAAATGCCAGCAGCTGCACAGGTAACTTTTTCTGTTTAGCTAATTCTATTATTTAGCATAGCTTTCACAAGAGAATTTAAAGTCTGTTGTGTGACTATAGCCTCTACAGTAGAATTTGCTACAAAACCTGTCATGAGGGGTACATTTCTGATCATTGCTTTTTCATTTTAAACCATGGAAAAAGGACCTCACAAATGAGGCCCTTTCAGAAGAGTGAAGGCCTTCTGGCAATGTTCCCTTTCACCCATGATGTGGGTTAAGAGGAGTGAACCAATGTTTTGTTTTTGACTGATTATGAGGCAACACATGTACCATTAAAGTATCTTACCTACATTGGGCCTTTATCCTTTATCTATCAAAGTATAAGGTTACCCATGTATAAGGCAGGCTGCAAACTCCTTCACAAATAAAAGTATACCCCGTAAGTGCACACAACCGACACCTTTTCCACTTCTATTGTTCACAGAGACACAAACAAGAAAAAACATTCAAAGATAAGAGTTTCATGACAGTAGAAGTCTTAATCTGTGAACTTGGGAAAATTGTTCACAAGGATGGTGTCTTCTCCTTGGGAGAAATTTCCCTGGTTAGTTTTACCTCAAGGGTTCCAGTGGGTGCATAGTTCCAAAAGTGTGGAGGGAACCTTCTCAGTTGCAAGACCATGAACTGAAAGCCCAAGGTCCTGAATGAAGTTTTGTTGTAATGTGGATGGCAAGGACAGTCTTTCTCCAATGTTCTCAGAAGATCCAAACCATAAAAAGCTTTTTTACCTGGAGAAAATACACTATAGCATAATAATCTGCTTTTATAACATCAGCCCTCTTCCATGGGAAAGCTTTTATACAACCAGAAAACATGCATTGAAAATAACAATTGAATGAAATCCCTTTATAAAATGTTTAAATGTCCCACCAGGTGACCAGATGTACCTGAAGCTTTG